CCAAACCATTCTATGATTCTATGACTCTGTAATGAGTAAGGAGTGCTTTCCTTCCTCAACAGTATCCACTTCTTTCTGTAAGCAGTCTAGAGTTGCCCTCCCCTAAGGAAAATTGTATCAAAACATAGTATGCTGCATACCACAGAGCTGGGTATAGTCCTCATGCTTTGAGTATGTTAACAAGATGGCCAGCGCCTCCTTCCAGCTCTGTAGATCACATGTGCAAACAATATCTTGCCAGTTCTGCTGCACAATGGAGGAAAGCAGCTGTAAGGGAAGCAGAAGTCCTGTCAGTCACCGAAGACAAAGATGAGCTGACTCCTTAAGCAAGTGCACCCACAGGGATAGCTCACTTTCAGGCACACTTCCCACTACACAGCAACTACCTCACTGTACATTAAGATCCACCAAACCCAGCATCCCAGTGTTAATAGCAATTGGAACCTAATGTCTCTAAAGAAAGTAAAAAAAGCCCAACAAAGCACTTAAGATAATACAGAAACAGCCACACTAGACAAGACTAAAGATCTATCTAACATATCCTGTTTCAGAACAGCAAGTATCAACAACTGGGAATATAGCGTTAGGAACAGAGAACATAGACATTCTAGGTGGGCAACATGAAGTTCTCATAAAACTCCCAAGAGATGGGAGTAAATGCCTAGCCAAGAGGAGATGCACAGATTCTGCTGACATCCTACTTCCTGCAAAAGCATTTCCACATATATTCAGGCAAACATCTGCCAAGATATCGCATGCCTTCCCTTGCTGAGTAGGTACACAAAACTGTCACTTACCAGGGAGAGTTTTGTCTTACACTTGGCAAAATAGCGCTTCTGGGTCTCCTTCAGGAGGTTCTCCCCACCAGCTATAGCTAAGATGATGGCATCAGCAAAGCGCTCTGCCCGCATGCACAGCTCCACTGCGCCCTCAAAATTCCCCAACAAAAGGGCTTGGCTGATGAGTCCATCCATATCTACAGAGGTGAGAAGCAGAGTTAACCCACAGGGGCAACATCCAGATGCACTGATGATGCTCACTTTAAAGAGCAGGCAGTAAAAATAACATGGAAGCTCAGCTAAAAGAAGAGTTGGAAACCCAAACTTTAAAAAAAAAATGACTTGACAGTAAGTCTTCCATTATCTAAAAGATTTTTCTATACTTTTAAATATTTTTCTATACTTTTTTAAATATTTTTTAAATATTTTTCTATACTTTTTAAAATTTTTCTATAGTTTTAATGGGTGTCTTCTCTGCAAAGAGTATTTCCTTGCACAATGCTGAGAGATGCTGCATGACACTGGGATGGGTCATGTGTTTTTAAAGTATCCACCTGCTGCAGTGGACCAGATTCTTCCTGGTATCTCTACTTTTCTGTTTTTCTCTCCTCTCCTCTTTTCCTAAGAAGGCAGAAACACATTTCATGGAACGTACCTTCTGTGACAGGAATCTCCAATGTGCTCATATTCTGTGGGATGAGGTTGTCAAAAAAGGCTGAAGAGGAGGAAACAGCAGCTACATCATCACTGGAATTTATCAAAAGCTGTGTAAAGAGTGCAAGAGGTTAATTAATTCATAACTGTTCAAAACAGTTTAATGGATTGGGGTCACTCTTCATTTGGTTGAGCATGCTCATAGAAATTTGATTTCAACTTGGAAACCCATAATGCCTCCTGTCATTGCTCTATCAACCTGCAGTTTCACCAGGGCAGCAACAAGAGTAGTGCTGCTGTTGACAAAGCTTAGACTGACGGTATAAGACATGCAATGCCCACAGTATTGCTGGCCAGCATTCATCAACTCGACTGCCAGCCCTTAAGCAAGCTGAACAATTTTTGGACAGAATAGGAACAAGCCCAACAAGTGATATTGACAAGTGGATTGAGCCCAACAACTCTGGTTGGAATTAAACCTTTCTGTTCATTCTGCCCTCCACTGCTCTCCCAGACTGGCAAGATGTGCAGGACATACCTGATCCGGTTGTGCGACATTTGTCTCATCTGCCTCAGGAAGGGGCTGTTTATCTGGGATCCCATTACTCAAACATGAGGTGATCTAGAAGTAACAGACATTCACAGAGTGAAGCCCCTATCAAAATCAAACACCTGGGCAGCAAAGCCACCAAGTGACTGGCAAGCCCCAGACAGAATTCCCCAGCTCTTTCACCTGTTTGAAAAGTTCCACCTCTCCCTACTCCTGGCTGGCTGCCTATCAGATGTTATTTATCCTTTTCAGAGCATTCTCCATGCTGCTGCAAGAATTTCCTCCCCTGCAGCTCCACCAGTGCTATGCCAGACTGTCTTCATCTGTCACACCTTCTTCCTGGCTGAGGAATCCCCTGAGATGCAGAGAGCTGGATGCTAGAAGAAGCTCTCACAACTGCATTGTTGTTATACACTTCCCAGAGCACCAACAACTGGAAGCAAGATAACTGGGCTCAAGACCCCTTTGGTTTGATCCAGTACAGCTACAGTTATACCCTTAAAAATGCCCACATTTGCTTTTTAATGGGGGATACTTGAGGTGCCTTTCAGCTGAAATTTCATGCAGTTTGGTCTTTTGTGTGCTGTGAGATCACTCACTCATTTCCAGTAGGGACCCTACAATTCTGCAGCAGCTTTACTCCTGTAAAGATTTCTCTCTATTGGAAAGACCCCTTACCTTTTTTTGCAGATCCTCCTTACTGTAGCCCAGCAGCTTGAGGAGTTTAGTCCTGGATTCCTGCTCCAGATTCACCTGAGTCCCAAAGGATATTGAAAAAGACAAGAAAATATGTAAAATCCTAGACATCTACAACACTGCCAATGGTTGACTGCTTCCAGCAGCAGCAAAGCTTAGAGCTCAGTTTATGACAAGTCCACCTAATGACTACTGTGGGAAAATCTATGGAATTAATAATGATAAAAGGGTGAAATTCAAGTTTGTCACAGTTACAATTGAGGTAACAACTGCATATCAGGGTATGACTGTATGCATTAATTTCCTGGATGGTCTAGAAATTGCCAAACTAATCTCTGCATAGAGACAATGGACTGATTTGAGTCCGTATGAAACTGAGACAAAGTGGTTGCCGGAACTCCGGGCTGGCTTCACAAAAACTAGTCAACTGGTTGTTACAGGAGCCGAAACAGGGATTTCAGACAGTCCCAGAGATTCCCACAGGCTGCACGCAGGCTAATTGACAGGCACTATTTGTATGCTTTAATGTGTGATTAACATTCTGCAAGGAGAACCTGTCTGTCTCAGGAAGTCCCTACTACAGAACTGACCAAACTGTACGTGGACAAGGTAGTTGTAAACAGTCAGTAGAAACTGTTCTGGCAGATGCAGAAATGGTCATTAGGACAGTCTTTTGTTCAGAAGCTTAGTTTGTAGTTTAAGACAATAAATAGTAATGGATCTTGTACATGGTGGGGTGGTGTCACAGGACCATGGGCCAGCTGGATCATAAAAGTTCACTAGAATGACAGTTTGACTTGTCTCCTCCAGTGCAGCTGAAGACTGCAATGTTGCAATGACTGAGACTCCTGTCACCACCTAGACAACACCCAGCCATCCTAGTCAAGAGATATGATTCCCCACGCAAATGTAATACTACGGAAAAGATCTCAGTATTTCACCCCACACAGCGTGCCTATGAATGCCTGTCAAACACTACCAAGGCTAAGCCCTGCCTCTCCAGAAGGGCGGCCACTACCCATTACCCAACTCTTTCAAATTACCAAACTGCCAACTAAACCATCATCTTATGTAGGGCTACAGTCAGTCCTCACACCACCACAGCTCTCTCCCTTATTACTGGGGAATCTCACTGCCCATTTGGACTTTGCCTTGAGAAATAATAACAGTAGAGCTCCCCAGGTAGCAGGCAGATATAGCTTGACAGTGGGCTGAGATGAGAAAATCCTGTTCAGCAGCTTAACAGGAAGCCCAAACAAGTCCACTGAAATGATCATTCCTACTGAAAAATAAGGTAACCACCAAGACTGCAACTGCAAAGCCTTTCCTATAGACAAGTAACTAACTAGCCTGTTCAATTCCATTTTATATCTTAAAGAACGGGAATACAAAGGGCTAGAGAGGACCAAAATGAACACATTCCACCCCAGGACTGTAAAAGAACCGACCTCTGTGTTTCACCACAGCCATCCTACCTTCAAGAAGTTCCAAAGGCTCTCATCAAATGGCAACTTGGCTGTCTGGATCTTGCCCTGGCAGTAATCAAGGAGGTTCCCTGACTGCAAGGCCATCTGCAGTTCTCTGGATCGGAGCAGGAATTCAGTTTCAGTAGTGACTTGACTGATGAATACCTGGTGTGGGTAATTCTGCTGTACTTGCTGTCCAGGAGCTTTGGTAAGACCAAAGGAAATAAGTTTTCCTCCAAACTGAGAAAGACAGAGAGAGCCACAGTAAGCATTCTTATAAGAAAAGGTAAAAGCAACTCACTTAGCTCTTCATTCAGCAAGGTGGACTCAAGCTCCAGCTGTGACCACAAATAACCCAAACAGTTTAATGTGTACAGATGGTAGGACAATGAGGGAGGTCATATCACAAGCCCTTCGGCTGAAGACTGGTAACCATTATATTTGTGTGTGTGCCATCAGGCTTAGCCAATTGCAAATGCCAGAGAAGCATAGAGGAAGAAGTGCCATTTGAAACTGATCTTTTCTGAGACGGAGAGGCAGGCTGCAATGATAAAAACTACCATGCAAATGGTAGGCACTAGACAGAGAACACGTCAATGCATAGGCTAAAAGAACAATTCAGCCTTTTGATTTAGGAGCAAAGGGGTGAAGAAAATTAAATACCCAGATAGGAAGGAGAAAGACAGAGGAGAATGGGAATGCTCCATTCACTTACTGCAAATGAAACCCCTACAGGTCTGCGAATCCACTTGGGTGGCTTTTTTAATGGTGGAATCAAGGTGGTCTGAGCTACTTGCTCTGGCACCTGCAGAGGAGGAAGGATCTGTCCTGTGCCAAAGGGATCCAGGTTGTTGAAGGAGGAAGAGATCTAGAATCAGATGGAGAAAGAATAAGATATAATTCAACTCCTCTTTGTATGGAGTGAGTACAAAAACTATTGCTTAGTTACTCTAATTGCTGATGAAGAAAAAGGCTATTACAGCACCTCTTCCTGGAATACAATCAAGCCTCTATGTGAGGTAAACAGTATTTCAAAGCAGTTCCAGACATTATTTCTGAAGAAAGTTTTACCTTGAGAGATTTTCAAGCTATTTTTCCTTAGCAAGATGCAAATTCTCTAACAAACACTGCCTGACCTAGCACCCAGCTCATAAACACAGAAGTTACAAAATTACTTGTTTTATGCAAGATAGTGACAACATGTGGTCAAAAGTTGTCTAACTTATTTCTTGTTTTGTTCACAAAGGAATGCTGATTCCCTTTCTGCTGCTGGGGTCTTTCAAATGGGTTAATTTAAGGCCAAGGCTTTATAGCTTAGATGAGGTTGAAATATCTCTCCAGAATTTCTTGCCTAGACAAGAGAGTGTCAAAAGTGGCCTCTGATCTAGATTGCTGACATTTAGGAAGCTAGTGAACATACATACAATGCTGCTCACAAGCATTCTTAATTTTTAACACTGTTGGCATAGATTTGTCATTTGCTAAAGATAACCCTGTTCAAGTTTGACTGGATCACAGGGCATAGCTCCAAAATACAGCTGACCAGCATACCTGAAAAGAAGCAGCACAAGGTTCATCAAGCTAAGGTTGCCAAACAAAGAATCACAGGCAAGACCTACATGTTTTGTCTTTCAGGTCCTTCTTGAGCGGAAACCAATTCCAAAGACCGCTTCCTGGAGGAACAGTTTATATCTAAATCACCCTAAACCTTCAAAAAATAAATACACACTATCAGGTCTTCAACAGAGTTTCTGTCCTGATACCATGGAATCCAGAGGAAAGAGAGCTCTTGGTAACAAACTCCCCACCCCCATAATTGTCATTATCTCCTCCTATTTTTCTTCTTACTTGTTATTCTGTTTATCTAAGAGTTATTCTACCCTACTGTTCTCCAGTTTTGAAGAGTGGAAGTGTAGTGCATGCACATGAAGAATGCACAGAAAGAAAATTCTCCATAGGTTAAATAAATCCTTAATCTCCTACAGCTGTTGCTTGGTAAAGTATTTTCTTTCTCTTGCAAATCCTGTGAAACTGAACTCAGTCAGCTGTAAATGACAATATAAATAATACTTAAGCCAGCTCATGTGTATTCTTTTAAAACCCATATTGTAAGGTATTTGTTGTCTGGGAGAGAGGGAGGGAATTAAAAGACTAGACACCAGATTAAAAGTAAAACTTTAGACAGTACTGACATTTAATCTGTTCAGAGTTTGCCCATCTATCATTGGCTAAGTAATGCGTTTCAGTATCAAAATATTAACATGTGCCAAGTTATCGTCAACTGACTTGAGGAAAACTGCTAATAGTGGCTTATAAGCTACTTTTAAAAATTTTCTTCTGAACTAATAAAGAACAACACATTTTATTAATTAGTATCAATGTATTTAATTTAACCGAATGACAAGACAAGCTTGTTGCTCAAAAAGACGTGCTGCTTTATTTTTAGTCTAGTAGTAATAACCATAATATACATATAACATCAAAATCACACTTGATCTTGGTTCTCTTCAGACACATCAATGAATTTTACAAGAAATACTGAGACACCTTTGTCAAGAGGCAATGCAGTCCCTTTGGGACTTGGTGGATATTAAGTGCCCACACAGGTAGCTTCTGGTTCCCACACGATACAGCTATACGTTCTGTGGGTGGGACAGACTGCATCACTTAAAAGTCACACTGTTACAGGTGAGTGCTTCTAATGCTCTCAGAAGTCAGGTAACTGCCAATCTGTCAAGCCATAACATGTTCACAGGACTTTACCTTGTCAGCCTGTGTCTTCTGCTGAGCTTCTAGGTTCCCACCCATAACAGAATAAACGTTGATCCACCCATCAAAAGTGGCAGCAGAGAAGACTGAAGGATTTCTAGGACACCACTGGACATCAAAGCACCACTGACTCCGAATGGGCAACTCATAAACTACCTATCACAGAAAGAGAGAAGGCAGAAACACAACATGAACAGTCCCCTGCTTCCCCCAAATTACTTGCCCACAGCAAGTGTGTCACACTTTATTTACATTTCACCATTGTATACAAGTCTCTTATTTTTGCTTCTTGGAGGATGGACAGCAATTGAGTTATGGTGTATTAAGCCCAAACAGCAGAAAGCCACAGAAAGCTGCTATACCACAGGATTCTGATTGTAGAACAAGATGCAAAAACAAGTGAGTACTGTTGCACCTGCTGTTAACCACGGGATACAAATCAGAAAACAACACGGGAAAACCAGAAACCAAAAGGCGAGAAGGTGTCATGAGCAAGAACATGTAAACAGAAAGAATAGTCTGGAATAACAAACTTAACAAGGAAAGTAAAAGCCCACAGAAAAACAGTAGAACAAGAGGACTGTAATAGCTACAGATGAACTAGGAAGGATATTGCAGCCAGTAAGTTTCTAGTTCAGCACTCAAAAACCCAAAGTTCAGTTCATGGCCTAGTCACAGGCTTTCTGTCTGACATTGGGCAACTCCCTAATACAACCTTGACTTTGAACCTCCAGTTTGTAAAATGAAGAGACTTCCTTTATGCCTCACAGGCACAAAGCACAGAGAATCACAGTTTCCTTCTCTGCAGGAACATGATCTGTGTTTTCTGTTTGCAGATATAAAACCTTGCATTTGCTTGTATTAAAATCTGGTTTGCTAAAAAAAACCACCAAAACAACACCACAAAACTCCAGACAGGAAGAGTGCAGAAGATATACTGGCAGGAAATTACATTGGCACTCCACTGGGATACAGAGAAGGGACAGATACATGGCATAGCACACAACTCTGTATAAAACAGACCATGTGTACTTAAAGCTGTGGTAATGTACCTCTCCCACACTTGGGTTCCAGCACAAGATCCGACTGTCTTTGGCACTACTCAACAGCAGCTCGGGGTCAGCCTGGCACCAAGAGACAGAGAGAACTCCCCTAAAAGAGATCAGAAATAAATCAGTCATATTTCATACCCAGTCCAGTCTCCCACCTTGTCACCAAGAAAGCAGCAGAAATGCTGCTTAAGCTTAGAAATGAGAGTTCTTATCTCTACCCTCAACCAGATTCACCTGTGAGAAAAAGTAGGCCTAGCAAACAATCACAGTTCTGCTAGTCCCGTCTCCCAGTCATCTGCCTTTTAAAGACGGAGATCCTTGAAAAGGCAGCACAACAACCCAGCCCTCACCTCGTGTGCCCTTCCAGCTGGCTCAAAGGAGAGGTAGCAAAACGTAAGTCCCATATTTGGATCACTGGCAAGCGGTCATCCTCAGAGGAAAGGACTAGCTGGGTTGCAACTTCTGGATGCCAGGCCATTCCTGAGCAATGCATCTAGAGACAAAAATAGCATAGGCTGAAAATTCAGCAAAGCAAGCTGGCAATAGCATAGATGTCCCAGAGCCACGTCATTCTGCACTTAACTTGCCTGGAACGCTTGACATAAAGCAAGTCTAGCAGTGTCTTGCTGTGGGAAGCAAGTATTTCTACCTTCTGTACACAGCAAAAAACCCACTAACCAGACAGAAGTTGAAAGACTAGTTCAAAGTTGATAAAGGAAGACAGCTAGGATTAAAATGAAGGAGGCTTCCCATAAATGAGCTGTGAACACAGTAATTGAATGCAAGGCTGCCCTAATTTTAGGAACAGCTAGGGGTCTTGTTGCTGCATCTGATTATGGAAAAAAAGAGAGAGGTGCTTTGATGCTACAGCTCCCACAATAAAAACACTTGATTCCAAGAGCCTGCACCACTGCTCTGCAGTCCTATGTGGCATGTTGTAAGCTAGTCAGAACCACAGTTTTTTTTCCACTCACTCTGTTGCTGTGGTCACTGACTTTGATGATAGGCTCATTCTTCCTGAGGTCCCAAACCACAGCCTTACCGCTGGGGTGGGCAGAGGACAGGATATGCTGCACCTGCCGATTCCAGGACACCACACTGATGTCTTCATGAGGCTGCCAAGAAAGGAAAGGCCACACACCCATTATTCCCATGTATAACAGGATTCGGTCACTAGCTTAACTAAGGGATTTGAGGATATATAGATTCCTCTCTTCAATCACTGATCAACTACCTGGAAAAAAGCAGCACTGACCAGAAAGATTAGGGAGCATGAAAAGTCCTTTACTCAGAAGGTACAACTGACAGTCAAATTCTACAGGGGAATGTCACCTGGAAAAGCACCTTTGCATTTTGTGAACAGGTACTGGATTCTGCATTGGCCAAATGTGTCATGAATCAGTCCAGAGAGAACCGCAGTAGGCAGAACATAGATGCTTCTACCCTGACTCCTGGGATGAACTTAAATGGAAACATGATCTTGTGCAACATTTCAAGAGTGCAGTGAGATGGAAAATGATGAAGCATTCAAGGCTAATTGCCATTACTGTATCTATCGCAATGCAGGAGACAGCTAAGGAGGCAAACGGGAGGCTTATTGCAGGAAAAATGTGGCCTGCTTTTAGGCAAGTTTGTTATGATTTTTTCACTTTCAGGAGTTGATTGGCCTGAATAACATAATCAGCATCAGAAGATCAGAAGCTTCTTCCTCTTCAAACTCAGGAAACATTATCTGGGAGTAATAGCCAAGATGCATTAAATGGCTCACTGGCTCTGCTACGCATATTACTTTCATGAGATATGGAAAGCTTCAGCTGAAGCCTGAATTAAATTTATTCCTCAGAGAAGGTCCAATAAGCCTTCTTAATCCATCACACATGCCCCAGCTGGATCACAAGATAAACTAGTCAGTTACTTGATTCAAATCCACAAAGAACTTATCCATCCATGCAAAGTGCATCCTTCCAGAGCTTGCCAGCCTACATCCCCTTCCCTTATAACACTCCTTCCACCTCCCCAGAATGAAGCTGATCAGTCAGTTCTGATTCATTTTTCTCCTGACAGATATCAAGGTCATTCCTCCTTCACAGACTGACTAGACTAGGATGACTCCACACACCCACATCTTTTTGTCTTGCCTACTGAGATATAAAACTGCAGGGGTACTGCCCAGAGGAAAATTCATTTACCTGTGATTTAGCCCCTGGAGTCATGGGCACACTGAAATTATTCAAGTCCCAGATGAAAATTTCAGAATCATTGGCTCCAGAAGCCAAGAGGTTACTCTGCAGAAAAAAGAAAAGCTCAGCTGAGTTTCACATTTTTTTAGAGGACAGATTTCTTAAAAATAAATGTAAGCAAAAACCCTAAAACTTCTGAAGTCAGATGACAGCTGAATTTCACAGCCACTGGTAAGCAGAAAGATACTAATCGGATTACAAAGCAAGCACATTTCTGTCCTCCATGCTTTCAGCTATGCCATGGCACAGACCTGTTTAAAATTTGTCTAGCAAGCTACATGTGCAGGTGGCTGGTCTTACTCATCATGAAACTCTGACACAGGCCTGGAAGCCGCTGTGTCTGGCCAGCTGAGCCTTTGCCCTGCATCCTCGCACCAAGGACATTTCTTCTGAGGAGACACAGGCTTCCCACAAGGCTCTGCAGACAACTTTCAATTTGCCTTTCTGCTACCACGAGAACGTGTATTCTGTTCATCACTCACTTATGTTGCAGTCCCTTCAAGCATGGTCAGAGCCCCACTGAATTAGACATCAACTGAACAAATTTTTAAAAGTTCTAATTTCAAATGGTTAATGGTCTACACATGTAACAGTATTGCAAGACACGTTTTTACAGAGAGACAAGAGACTTGATCAAGGTCACAGGGGAATTCAGTGGCAAAGCTGTGAACAGAACCCAAATCTGAGTCCCAAACCAGTCTTGTGTCACAACTACCACACCTCTTTCAGGTTATAAAACTGTTCCTTCAGTTTATAAATGTCTATACACAAAAGAAAAGCGTATTTTTTAAATATGGAAGTTGTTCCATTTGGTTGTAAGTATCTGAATGTTGCATACCTGGAAAGGGTTGAAGTCAAGAGCTCGAACAGGACCTGAATGCTTCTCTGTCTGCCCAATTACAGGCTCGCTCTTTGAAGCCAAGATGTGGTGCACACTGTACATCGTCAGTACACCATTATCCCCTCCACCAACAATCACCCCGGAGGACTCTGGGGTCCCATTTCCAAAGTTACCCCAGATCAGCTTATGAAACCTAAAATAGAAGAAAATAAAGCTGGCGTAGGCCACTATATTTGGTGGAAGTCAAGACACCCCCTGTATTACCAAAAACCACATCCATGTTCCAACCTATCAAATACAACCATCAGTCTGTATCTTAAATAACCATTTCCCTTTAAAGATGACTGTGGATCTTACATGAAAAAAAGACATGAGCTTGCTTCTAAAGACTTTTAAAGGGAACTTACAAAAAAGAACTAGTCTGTCTCTTTTTTTCTTTTTTTTTTTCCCCCCTCCCTTAAAACATTTAGGACCTCGAATGGGATTTGGTGGGTGAAATCCTCTAACCCAAAATATATAGAAAATTAGATTACAGGACTAAATGCCTTCTTTTCCTGAGCTATTATCTGAAAAATACGTTTAACCACTCTAAAGGCTTCTAGTTACAAATCAAGGCTGTGTTTTACACTGGGTGCAAATGTCATTCACACTGATGAGCCTTGTTTTAAAAAGCTGGAAGAAAAGTTTCACTCTGCCTCTAGTCTCTTTATAGCAAATCATTAGCCCCAGCAAGTTCACATGATACTGAATGACTCTCCTGCCTGACTACATTTAAACGCCTTTCAAAATTCTCCAATGGTCCAACTGCTGTACTTTTACATCCAATATGATTTGTGTCAACAAAAAATGTCCAGTTCTTGAAGACAGGGGTCGACAGGGGTCAACTGATCCAAAAGATCACTTCATATCCAAAAATATTATCTCCTCCTCTCCTTTCTTGTACCAGAAAAACCCTTCTCAGTTCCACTGATTGACAGGTTAGTATGAGCCTCTAGTACCTGTTTGAGGCAGGAAGTGTTCCTTTCTGCTTCATGTCCAGGGAGGGATCCCTGAAGTCAACCTCGAATATTTCCAAGGTGGCATTTGTACTGAAGGATGCATCCAGTTGTTGGGCAGATGTTCCTAGCAGAAGTACAAGGGCAAAACAAGTGGGCACTCTTTTCAACAGCACGAGATACAGAAAGAGCAAGGCAATGGAAACCTGTTACTTCATAGTCAATGCAACCTTGATTGTGCCTGTTCAAGGATAGAACATGTTTGCATACCTCAGAAAGAGGAACCAACAATTATGACAATCACTTTGAAAGAAATTAGAACTTTTTTAAGAAATTCTGGGCACCATGGTCACTGTTGCACAAATACCTTTCCCTCCTGGGATAAATACAATTCATATATCCTCTTCCGAGCAGCCACAGCTTCTGATATTAAGTCCTTATCTAAACTACAAATGCAGTCGCATCATGAAACCCTGCTACAAGTGCAATCCCAAATACTGCTGTATACTGCTCCTCAGTCATGACCATATGTCTTGATCAAACCTTCTAAACCTGGTCTGCAGCAAAAGCTCTTCAACCTTAGGCAAATAAACATTCCCCAGTGACCCACAGACAGCTATCAGTCACACAGTCATGGCTTTTTTCCTTCTCTCTAGCTTACAGAATAAAAGTTAAAAACAGATCTAACATTGCCTAATGGGACACTGCCAGGCAAATAGTCACTCAAGTTACCACAGAGGTGCTTTGTAACTGCCTATGGCATGGAAAGTGCCCAAGAGACTATTAAAAAGCAGTACAAATTATGAAACTATGCAGTTTCTGATCTAAAGCAGGCTGAAGCCAAGACCTTTGGTCCAACGAAAAATCTGTCCTTATTGGAGAAATACAAAATACGTGATCTACCCCAAAAATGGTAATGTTGCTTTTAAGGCAATAGCTGAACTTTTATCACTTTCTTTTGACAGTCATCCCTGAAAAAAAAACAAAAGCAAAGCAATATGGCAGTGCAACATAACCCAGGCAGGAGACAGAGCTGACTAGTTCTCATGTTGGGCAGACAACCCAAGCTGTCAGTTCCACACAAACATTAAACTCACCCACTGCCCACTCAGTGAACAGACTGACTTTGTGCTTCAGGAAATAAAATTATTGTAACAATAGTGAATAATTAAAAATATCAACAAAATTCAAATGTAAGATTTTGCAGAAATATTGAAAACTGAATGATAGCCAAAATATGCACCTTTAGGGAGAAGAGTTTTCTATTATTCAATTGTCAAACCATGTGATAATGTCTGAAGACCAACAAAGTAAAAGTGAGCTTAAATTAACATGATTAGAATTAACTTTTTTTTTTCCTCCCACAGACATAGCAAATAAGTAACCTTATTTTGCTTTCATTTTTATAGCAAGCAGGTGTTGGAGTTCATAAAGACTTAATTAGATAAAAAAAGTCATGTATTCACCCTTTGAAAAAAATCAGTGGCCTTTAAGGTATCAAAGCTGGGCGTACAAATAATCCTCTGCAGGTCACTTAAAAAAAAAAAAAGTTAAGGCTGTAATGTTTTTGATATATTGCTTGTAAGTTTTCCAGAGATTATTAAGGTGGGAACTATTGAAAGTTAAAGCAAATACAACTCTACATAAAATCTCTCTGTGACTCATATGCAAATTGTCACAAACTGTGAAGAACTTTACCTGTTGCTAGATAAATGGGGTGGTTGTTTGCTGGACTCCATGCCTGGACAGCTGTTCGCTCAATTTCCTTTAGCTTCATTTTCTAGTCTCTAGAAGAAATTTCACACAGTGGTTAGAATAGCCAGATAAAGCCAACATGAAAATAACCACACCAGTAACAAAATATCCCCCTTACAAAGCTACAAGGTGAACAAATTGCTCTCAATAGAGAGAAGTTACTTGTTACTTCCTGAGCTAGTGAATACAGTTTCACAGGAATGAATTAGGGAACGTCAGAATTCATTAAAAACAATCCCAGCCGCCTGATCACGGATTTTCTTTCATATATAGCTCTCTTTTCATATACCATGATCACAGGATAGTTTCAGCAAAAGGAAGGGGATCTAAATTAAACAACATACTCAAGTCTGCAGTCCTGGCAGGTTTAAATCAGCTGTAGAAATTAATTTAAACAAATGTATTTGCAAAGCACTGGTTGGTCTCTCGGAACAAGCTGATGTTAGTATATACATAGGCAAAAAGGGAGCAGAAGGAGCCTCAGGGCAGGCTAAATTCCAAGCAAAAAAGTGACGTGGCAACAGAAAACAAAGTGCAAGGCTATCATGCGCCCATTCAGTTATTGTACTTTGTACTTGTTCCTCTGAGAAGTGAAAGGAAAAAATTCATTTGACTTTCTGCTTGAGTTTGTTAATTATAGAAGGTGAGAAGAAGTGATCCAGAAGTAACTACTGAATTTTAATCTCAGCTCTGACAATGATTCCTTTTATTTACTCTGGCTAGATCAACTGACACCTGTAAAATAGGAGCACAACTTCCCCATGTCACTGGAGAGAGTTGGGCAATAATGTAGCAGGACAATTGAAAGTCAGACAACAGCAGGCAGCCAGGAGGTTGCAAAACTGAATATAAATACAAATTATTGTTCCACGTAGGATCCCATTCTTGCTGAGGAGAAAGCACCCAGCACCTCTCCATCCCAGACTATACCCAGGCCTTCTAGGACAACACAAACGATGTGTGGACATACCATTCACAGGCTAGTGGGGTCACTCTCATGAGCAGTTCCTAAACCTTTTGAGCTTGGCTGCAGTGCAGTCTTTTAACTCTAGCTAAACAGAGCTGCTAACTATGCACTCAGATGGTATCATGCTGAATAAAGTAAAACTGTCAGCAGGCAGCACAGCAAAACACTCTGCATCTTGCCAGCTTGCTGTGATTAACCTCCCCTGGTTACCTGACACTGTTTGTGTTAGCTGGGCTGATGGTTAAGCCACAGCCTGCATCATGCAGCCCTCCCTTCAGATGCACAACTACAAGCCTCAGTGCTCCAGAGGTGGCCTTACTCAGGCCAGAGTATGGATGTTTGTTTGTAACCGAGTTCATAAAGGCAGCTTGTTGTGGACAGCCCACTGTCTGGCCAAACCATCCAAAAAATAAACCCAAAAAACAAACCTGTTTTGAAAAAGCCTTCTGTCATCTTGTGGCTTATATGAAGCTACAGCCCCCTGAGGCCCACACAAGGGGAAATCTGGGCACCATGGCTTCTTGGGATTGGACCTCCTGGCTAATAACGCAACACTCTTGTTAGAGTTCCTTCTCCACCCACGGACAGAAGCTAAGGATATCCTCGCTCTTCCCCCATGCACTATCAGGACATGCTGTTTGATTAGAATTTATTTAATGCTTTTTAGCATTAGTTTGCAGCAGTATCTCTCAAAGCTCAACTGCCTATTGCTATTGTCATATTAACCTTACCCCAACTCAGCTGAGGCCCAGAGGAATCTGAACAGAACTCTTGTACAATAAAACAAGTGCAACTATTTCCTCGCGTAGCCTAGGAAGAGAGATGGAAAGATCATCTTCTCCTCATCACCATAACAGACCTCTAAAGCTTACTTTGCTATCTTCCAGAACACCCTTTGCGGTGTACTCATTCGGGCTCCATCACATTCTCTCTGCCAAGAAGTTTCAGCACCTATTCATCTGTCTCCCATACTAATGCAGGAACACTATCCAGGTCTCCTCCCTTCATTGGCAGGGGGAAAAGAAAATATCCCCAAGAGGAGTCTGGTGCACCTGCTAGCAACTGCACAAGGCACTACTTGACTCCACCGATGTGGTGAAGCAGGACAGCTGGTACGTTCCTTATCAGCTCCTTTCCTGCCTCTTCCTCCTCCAAGTATGATCCACCAGTTGCAGGAGCTGGCTGTACATACAGGCCTCACTGCTTCTTGGCGTTTGAGAGGACAACTCCCCTGTTAATCCATCAACATTATTAGACAATGGCCGAGAGACCACTTCCTCTAGTAAGTTAACCGGTAAGGAAGTAATGAAGTGTAACCACCACAGACTTAGCCAGGTGAGTGGTACAAGCTCCCACTCCTTACCGGCTGTGCTGGACTGACTGCATGGCTGGCACAGTTTCCATTTAATGGGCAGACACAAAGACAAGCCCCAGGTGAAGAACAGTATTGATCAATTGCCCAGCTTTTCTTGTCAATAGAGCATTTTGCATAAGAAAGTCAACATTACTGTTCTCTTTTCACAAACTTAAGTCAGGACAGAAGAGTAAGGTAAAGTGTCCTGCCTATGGTAACTCACCCAGACACAGGAAAGCAAACAAAGCATCAGAGTGGCTCAATGTTAACAGAACAACTGTAGAAGTGCTGGATCATAGGTACTGAAGAGGTACACTGTGTCCCTGGTCCTCAAGGCAAAGCAGCAGTAGTGCCAACAGACTTGAGAAGGCCCACAGAAGATGCATAAGAAGTCAACAAAAGACTGTAATATCACACCATCTCTTAAGCATCTCCTACGTACTCTGCTCTGTGGGGATGGAGCAGCACCTCCTCCTTAAGTCAGTGGGCTCTGCGTTTAGACAGGGAAAAAAAGCTTAATTCGAGTCTTCTCTTAGAGAAGTGATTCTTCTACACACTGTGCATGTCTGTACCCAGGACAGGACTCACGATCCTCCAGCAGGAAAAAGCCCTTCTTTAGCAACCTCTCGTGGCTGTCGGAGAAAAATTCACAAGTATTTTGAACGCTTCCACAGGAGAATTTTTAGGAAGAGGCTGCCACCTGCTGACATCTCCCAAAATAGCATTTAAGACTTCTGAGAAAGCTCATGCTTTTCTCAGGACTTCTTATTAATTAATCATGACAATTCCTCCTTCTCCAGACATCCGATTACAGACCTAACGTATTAACGAACCTCAGCCCCAATAGGAGTCACAGGACAGAAGCAGCATTTCCCCGCAGCCTCCTCCAGCCGTGGTTTCCTGCACAGTGTCCTTAAAAGGTAACACTGTCTGCAAAGCAAAACCCAGCAGGTCAGAGCACTCCCCACCACTGGGAAATGGAGGGCACACAGCTGAACAGTGAAAAGTAAAAGCACATGTTCTCAGATCATCATGGACCATGCAAACAATGCTTACAGAGACAAAAATTCCTCACCCACACTAACTTGAAGTACTTGTGGCTTTAGAGTACACTGTAAAAGACCATGGTTCTTGTTATGTCAGCTAATTGACCCGCAAAGCTGTCAGGATAATCATCCCTGGTATCACCCCAGTGAGGCCTTCTCTCTCTTGCACCACCCAAATACTGTCAATCAGAAATCCCCTCCTACTGACTTTCCCAATCCTCCTGCCACTGGGCATCCAACCATTCCTCTCTGAACAGTCCCTGCTGATACTGGACTTCCAGCACAGCACAACAGGGAACTGGTAGCTTGATCCCCTTAGCAAAAGGTAAAACTT